TTAGGAACCTCCGCGCGAGTGTATCCGCCCGCCATTTCGTTTATAAAATCACCTTCTGGTGGTATTGAAGGAGGTCACTGGTCCCGTTAGTTAGGGAGACAATCGCTGGGCTGATTTTATGGGCGGACTTGCCGGCTCCCGAAACGCCCCATGAAAGCATGGAGAATTCGGAATTGGCTCCTCTTAGTGCTCCAGCGAACGCCGGCTGTGGTCCAACGAACGAGGCGGAACCGAGAGTTGATAGCATTAGCAAAAACATATTCTCAGGTAAGGCAGAACCAACAACACACAAACGTGCACACTCTGCAATAATCCAATACAATACGTCACCGGTGACAAGATACTCAAACAACAGTCTACTGAACACAACAACATACACTCAAAGCAACCAGCACAAACAACACGAGCTAGGATTTGATCTCATACATTACCTAACCAAAACACTAATAGCTCGTCAAACGTGTTCAGTCCAAAGTTCTCGAAAGAGATGATTGATTGATTTGTGGGGTTTAACGTCCCAAAACCACTATATGATTATGAGAGACGCAAAGTTCCGGAAAGAGAGCTTGAAGGTTTCTATTCAAGGAAACGCTCTTGAAGGGAATGCTTCTTTTCAAGGAAATGTTTATCTTCAAGGAAACAAGGAGCGCATACATATGTGCACCCACTCCTTCCTTTTTAAGCACGGGAATTATTTTTACGATTCTCCAATATGCTGCACTCCAGCCAATTCCAAGTGAATGGTTGACAAGATCAAAGAGGTCCTGAGGAGACATATCAATTAGCATTTTTAGCATGTATGCCGTAGTTTCGTCTGGACCGGGAGCTGAATTGGGGAGTGACTGCACAACATGAGGTAGTTATTGTATAGTTACGCTTACAAAATCATCCACAAAGCAAGGTTTGAGAAAGAATAATTGTGATTGAGATGTAAAGCGCTCTTGTAATTCTAATGTGATTCCATCTAAAAAATCTGCTAACTTTTTTGGGGTCAGCACAATCAACTTTATGCTCATGAATGAATAAATTACCTTGTGGGACTTTAGAAATCTAAAGAGGGATTTTCGTTGCTGCTTCTGGAAAGAATTGCATAGCGGTTCTTTCATGTGGAGATTTCCCCATGGAAACAGTTTTTAAAAATTGCGTTAGTGTACTTGTAATTGTTCCAACTAGTAGGACACTGGTTGATAAAATTTTTTATCGTGCGGCTTTTCTTCGCCTGTACTCTCGTTGACAATCAGAGTCAAAAAGGTTACAAATGTTAAAATGAAATTTTGATGATCACTGGCTTGTGCTTACTATAAAGTTTTTGTTTTAGGAATAGATAATAACCTAGATCAGAACCTAGCTTAAAAAGAAAAAAAGAACCGATTGTTCTTATTCTACTTCGTCTTTCACTTCTTCACGCTAGCTGAGCTCGCGCCAGGGCCTGGGCGCCGCGCTTGCATTCTTACACCATTTATTATCACAAAGAAAATCATTTATTATCCCAAAAGTAAGGTGACCATATACTTGAACTGATAAACTATTTGTCATGAATTCCTGAGTAAAGAATATCTACAAAACTCCGATTCATTAACAAAAACGGTTTCAGGTACAAGGGACATTGCAGGGCTATTTAGGGACCTCCGCACGAGTGTGTCCGCCATTTCGTTTATAAAATCCCCTTCTGGTGGTATTGAAGGAGGTCACTGGTCCCGTTAGTTAGGGAGGCAATCGCTGGGCTGATTCTATGGGCGGACTTGTCGGCTCCCGAAACGCACCATGAAAGCACGGACAATTTAGAATTGGTTCCTCTTAGTGCTCCAGCGAACGCCGGCTGCGGTCCAAAAGAACGAGGCGGAGCCGAGAGTTGATGGCATTAACAAAAAGATACTCTCAGGTAAGGCAGAACTAACAACACACAAACGTGCACACTCGGCAATAATCCAATACAATACGTCACCAGGGACAAGATACTCAAACAACAGGCTACTGGACACAACAACATACACTCAAAACAACCAGTACAAACAACCCGAGCTAGAATTTGATCTCATACATTACCTAACCAAGACACTAACAAAATAAAATGCTCGTCAAACGTGTTCAGTCCAAAGTTCTTGGAAATAAAGCTTGGATGTTTCTATTCAAGGAAACACTCTTCGAGGGAATGCTACTCTTCAAGGAAATGTTTCTTTTCAAGGAAACAAGGAGTGCATATATATGTGCACCCACTCCTTCCTTTTTAAGCACGGCAATTAGTTTTACGATTCTCCAATATGCTGCACTCCAGCCAATTCCACGTGAATGGTTGACAAGATCAAAGAAGTCCTGAGGAGACATATCAAATTGCATTTTCAGCATGTATGCCGTAGTTTCATCTGGACCGGGAGCTGAATTGGGGAGTGACTGAACAACATGAGCAAGTGCTTGTATAGTTACGCTTACAAAATTATCCACAAAGCAAGGTTTGGGAAAGAATAATTATGATTGAGATGTAAAGCACTCTTGCAATCCCAATGTGATTCCATCTAAGAGATCTGCTAATTTTTTAGGGACAGCACAATGAACTCTATGTTCATGAATGAATAAATTACCTTGTAGGACCTTAGAAATCTAAAGATAGATTTTTGTTGCTGCTTCTGGAAAGAATTGCATAGCCGTTTTTTTCGTGTCGAAATTTCTCCATGGAAACAGTTCTTTTAAAAATTGCGTTAGTGTACTTGTAATTGGTTCAACTAGTAGGACACTGGTTGATAAAGTTTTTTATCGTGCGGCTTTTCTTCGCCTGTACTCTCGTTGACAATCAGAATCCCGTCAGACACTTACAGGTTTACTTCTCGCTGAGGCTTTAGTGAACTTTTTTCATAGTGCATTTTAACACCAAACAAAGGCGCATGGCTTTAACATCATTTTCTGAGGTATTCAAAGAGGACAACGCTGACTACAAACGTTTTTGAATCGTTTACAAAAGTGTGATTCTACAATCAATACTTGACTTAGATCACTATTATTTGGAGTATCAACCACCACCCAAGAATAAATCAGAAGGCTTGAGCTAGCAAATGACAAGTCTAACACCGATCTCGCATTACCTCGTATAAATGAAGCTACTCGAGAATCAAGGCACATACACTGTTTTTACTGATCAAGTTCCACAGACGTTTACCTGACGCATCTATACGCAATCTCCATGTTACATGGTGCGAGTTAAAATCACCCATGAATATCGCGTTAGGTCTGCAGAAAGTATGCATAGAGCCCAGAGTGCCTTCCTCTTCTACGCAAATCGTCAAATAGCAGTTTACATAAGTTATTGGCGCACAGCCTTAAAGTACAAGTTCTAAAGCTAGGACTTCGTGATCAAAAGATTTTGCCCGTAAAAACGTTCACCTTATGACAAAATTCGGATGATATAAAAAACGCTATTACTCCCCCTCGTGCATTCAGACAAATTGAAGTAACAATTGTGAGACTTGTTAGTTCGCACTCATCCTCTGTATACCTCTGCGTACATTTCGTGCTTCGTTTGTGTTTAAGCAGCACGTTAAGTGTAGAGCTGCATACGGCATTTCGCACTGGCCCTATTTGTGTTGCTCACGTGCGTCCTTTGTGCTTGAGCAGCCACTTACGTTTGGATCCGCCCGCCGTTCTTTGCTAAGGGGGCTTAAAATATGCAAAATACCTCAAGCAGCACTTTTACCCTGCAGCAATACCAGCCGGATCAGGAAATGCTCAAGGAATCTGCCACGAATAAAAATGCCACATTTCCGGGACCAGGAACCAAAAGTATGCGTTTCTTTCGACCCCAAGTTCGACATTAATATTTCTCGCTTTCGTCGCTAGCGACTTCCACCTCGACTTTCATATATGAATTGGCATATATTAGGGCTTCTTTTTTTTTCAGCTGTCGAGCCTACATCTGCGTGTTCTAATTAGACTTTGCTGCATCAATATTGCATGCACGTTTAACTGACGCTGAGTTCTTATCACTTTTACGAGATGAAGCCACTGAATTTGCTTATTTAACTTGATTTGAACAGATTGCAAATGGTCTGACTCACTCTGCACTTGAGCACGCTAACTAATTGCGCATGTTTATTCACACAAATATTCAATAAATGCTCAACGGTCTTGCACTATAGACATTGTGTCTTCGAATGTCTGCAATCGTTTACGTCATGCCAATTACACCCTACATAGCATTTCAATTCGCTCCACTATATCACTTGGTTGCTTTCGTCCCCGTAGAAAGAAACAATTCTTCACAACGATGCAGGCATACTGAAACGTGAGATACAAAAAAAGCATTACTAAAAAAGAGACCTGCGAGCCCTGTGTAAAGAAAAAAGTGCCGCCATATTCACGAAGTGAATGATGATTAGTGGGCGAAGCTCTGGAGGAAAACCTGGTAAACCATGAATCTTCCGTACATTTTGCCTACTCGATTTTATTACAATGCTCCCCCTAGCGTACGTCGCCGCACTAAATCGAACAATTGCCTTCCACCAATGACACGTGCCATATGTGACATCATTCCTATTTTATAACATCTCGCATCTTTCATCATCAACTACAAATACCACCATCTAGTTTATAACATCTTGCATCTTTTCATCATCAGCTACAGGTCCCGCCATCTAGTGAGCACTGAAAGAACTAAACGAGAGGTGGCTACATGCAGGAGACGGTGCCGCCATCTAGTGAACACTGCAAGAACTAAACGAGAGGAGGTGACATACGGGAGACGGTACCGCAATCTAGTGGACACTGGAAGAACTAAACGAGAGGTGGCTACATACAGGGGACGCACAGCCCACGCCTTAAGGAGCATCGCCCCTAAAACTTTATGCGAACAATCGCATCGTAGAATTGTACTTAGACATAGGGGTGAGTGAAAACAAACCTGAATACTGTGCTGGTAAATAAGTGGCATTAAAACGTATGAAACAACCAAAATGTCTAGGGTGCATTTCGTTTGAAACAAAGTCTAAAAAAAGATTCAGCCTCTGTAAAAGTTGAGCACGCCACTAGATTTATGTCTTGACTAAACGTCTCGCACGTTCAGTCGTAAAATGAGCATTTTTCAGCCGGATTCATCTTGGAGCCCGCTGGACAGCTGAAGGCTTGGGCAAATGGTGCGAAGTTCATCATCGCCTTGTTGCAATCTCCGCCGTAGAGGTTGTCAGCGGGTGTCTTGGAGCAACTCGACAGGCAGGCAGTAATGAAGAATACCTTCTTCTCAGTCAATTCCTGCGAAATGATGTGACACGTGTTTATTATTGCAACAACCACGTAAATATTACAGTAGCCACAATGTAAACATTTTGCAGCTGTGTGAAAAGTTATAAATTGCAGTTTCATCGATGAACCGTTATTAACCCTACGAAAATTTGCAAATCAACTGCACTTTTCGCAATGAAGACCTCTACTTTGAAAGAATAATATATTGGAGCAGTTCTGCTGATAACTTGCGTGCCAAGGACAATGAGCAATGAAACATTTACCCGAGTGTTTTTGGCTGCTGTGACATTCCTCCAAATAGGGTAATTGTGAAAGTACAGAGCAAGATCTGAATACTTCGAAGATGCAATCAAACACAAAACTTTTCCCTAAACACATCCACAATGACTACGTTTCACTCTCAAGTAACGCAAGAACGTTCGCCAAGGCATAGGCAGCGCGGGAATTTCTTTAAATGTCTTAAAAAAGAAGGGAAGGCCCGAAATGCACCATTGAGCCACCACCTTTACTTCGCATGAAGAAAGCATTTGATAGAATATTTTGAGCTAGATTTCTTCAAGTACATTCATATACGCTTCTTTGATGCGTATACTTCGCAGTGCCAGCATGTCTGCTAATATCTCGACTGAATTAAATGCATTCTCGTAATCTACGAAGGCCATATACAGGAGTAAGTAGTATTCCGCACATTTCTCTAGCTCCTGGTTTATAGTACGACTGTGGTCTATTGTTGACCACCCTGTACGAAAGCCTACTTGGTCTTTTCGTTAAACTCGTCGTAGTTCTATTAGCTATCATTTTTTTGTAAACAGCTTATAGACGACCGACAGTCAGCGCACCAGCTTGTTATTTTCTAAGTTCTTTACTTGCAGTTTTGCATAGAATAAGGTAATGTTAGCCTTCTTTGAAGGTTCCGGTACACAACTTCATTAAAAGACACTTTGTATACAGGATGGCCTGTTTGCCTGAGACAATCTGTCCACAGTCTTTCAAAAAAATATATGTGACCTAATCCCCACCATGCCGCTTTACATTCCCTTCAAGGCTTTCTCTAATTTTCTCTACAGTTACTGGTGGCATGTCCGGATCCTCTGGACTACTACTAATTAAGCTATCTTCCTATCTGTCCCGGCTGTTGTACAAATCTGTAGGTCTCCTCCGCGACTTGAACTATGCCCATATTTGTAGCGATTTTGCCTTTGTTTTTTCGTGAATATATCTAGTTTTCGACGATTCCCAGTTTTGTCTGCACAGCTTTGAGACATTGCCATTCATTAAGGGCATGTTCAATGCTCTTCATATTATATAATTTCTTACGTCTCCTACTTTACACCTACTATAGAACTTCGCAAGTTCTGCGACTTTTGTTTGTCTGTTGTGTTTCAGGCTATCATGCTTCAACTTTCTTAATGAGGTTCCTAGTCTCCTGGGTGAGCTCCTCAGTAACATAATAAATGGCTGTACCTTCGACTTCCATTGCACACTCCTGAATGATACTAGTCGATATTATTCATTGCATCGACGCTGAAGATGACTTCAGTGGTTATAACGTAGTAGCTATTATCAAGCGAGAACCTGAGTTCCTGTCCTTTCCATCTCAGCGCAAGCGCATTAACTGGCTTGTCGCGTATTAGCTTTTACCATACACTACTTCTTACGTAGAAAGACCGCGTAGACGTAAGTTATCGGCTAGGATCTCTTCATAACCACATAGCGTGAGTACATTAGGTGGCATTCGTTCCCTAACAGAATTACGAGCCCTAAGAGTATTGTGGATGGTACACTGATACACTTCACCACAATAATTATTGCGTGGGCATGTGGCGCTTTTGTACAATATATGTGATAAATACGATAACTCAGGTGCATATTTCGTGCATAAGCGTGTTGAGTTACGTTAGCGTTCTTACGCATCTTAGATGACGAAGAACCGTTTATGTTTATATTAGTGGCACATTTAAATGTTCATTATTCACACATACGCAATAAACAGTGTGTAAACAGACAATTTCTTTGTTACAGATAGGAGCCTAGGTATTTTCAAATGATAATAAATTAATAGTTTGTGACCAGCGTCCACTTATGAGGGCAAAACATATTAGAAATTGTGACAAGGCTTGCCAAAGCATATGCTGGAATACTTTCAAATGCTGTTTTTTTTTTTGCCGTCTTGATTTTGCATGCTTCCTTCGTCAAGATGCACTAACAGCTTTATTAACAAACCACCGACGCGCTTCTCTACTGCCTGGTCATTTCGTTTGATCGCAACACCAATGCCTCGTAGATAATCTCCACTTTCGATATCAAACAACGCATGCAGGGCGTCCTGTGAAATTGACCAGAAATTGACCAGCGTAGTTCCTAATTGGAGAATGACCTGTTCGCGGTGTACTACAAAATCATATTCATTAGAGTAAAATATTGTTATCCGCACACTTCGACCGATACCTGCTATCATGTTCCCTGCACGATCAACATCTCTGGCGATATGCTGCATCGTGTTATCTTACTCACACTAACGTCGTTCCTCTAATGTTGGAGACACCAAAATATTCAGGCGTTGAGAAAAATTCAAATGTATTGGCATAGCTATGATATATATTTTCTAGTCCTGATCTACTGCGCGCATTTGTATTCTATTACTCTAGTAAAAATAGAAGCATGCGTGAGACTAAAAAGGCGGCTTGCGAATATCTGCCCACCTCTGACAATTGGGTGTCGTTGTCTCCTTGGTGCAGCTTAAAAGCTTCGTAGGCCACTTCAATTGCAGGAATCTCAGGAAAGATGCTGGCATTTCCGGGCAGACAACCGAGAACGCGCTCCTCAAAAGTGCCCGGCGCCTTGTCACTCGGTTGTGACGTCATTGTCTCGCCTTGGGAGTCAATCTGCGAGCAGTGCTTACGTTGTAACATATACGCTACAAATAGTGGCCAAGCTTGCAACCAAGTACGTTTACATGTTCATATGAGACATTCATTTTTTCTCTCAACTTGAAAAGCAGAACCTGCGAAAAATTCAAAGCTCATTGGAAACTACACAAACACGGAGACACTCCAATATACAACAGCCACAAGTGCGAGCAAGTCACAGCTACAGTTTTTGATGAATCGATGCTAGCATCGGTCAGACAAGGCGCAGAATGCCCAGAACGACACAGAAAAGTCACTAAATTTCAGCTTGACTTTAATCCTCGCAAACTATTCATAGGTACTTCCAGGGCACACACTCAAGTGCCAAGTCACTGAGAAGTGTCAGAAAAACAAACCGCCATCTATTATGCCGCCCTTCCGTATGCTATTTGTTTCAATACATAATTCATTAGAAGTCTAAGTGTTGTGTTGTGTCGTACTGTGTAGTCCTGCGTGTAGGCTAGTATTATGAAAGGACTGTACAAATATTTTGAGCGAAGGGGGGGGGGGGACTTCCCAAAACCACAAATTTGAATATAAGAGACGGCGTCGTTCAGGGATCTGTATTTCGACTACATCGGTTGTTTTAAGTGTTCCCAAAATTCAACACAGGGGCCTCAAGCATTTCATCCGACATCGAAGATAACGTGCTAATCATGACACCCATGCCACGTAAAGTAATATTTGCCCTCCGTAGTCTCGGGGCACTAATGGTCATTTAATTAGAAAATGCACACCAAAAGCGGTTTTATGGCACATTATTTCGTGATAAAAATAAATGTCAGTAAAATGAAAGAAGTGGTGAATTCAAGGGCAGTATTTTTTTTCTTAGACACAAGGAATATTGTGAACTAGCAGACAACAGCGGGAAGCAAAGTATGAGAGATGTTAGTAGTAAATTGTAGTGTACATGTGAAGAAACAGAAGGAAACTTGTCGCCGTCGGGGATGGTCTCTGCCACGGGCAAGGTATCCTTTCATCCGCTTTTTTCTCTTCATGGTGACATTAAAATAAGTGATAATATTATTCCCTATGCTTTACTTGGCATTATTGCATGGTAGTTCTCGTTTATAAATGTCAGGTAGCCACATGAAAATCACGACATCAATGTCGTCGAGGGCTTAAGTTAAAAATGCCCTGCTCACGGTATACGCTCACATGCGTTTCGCTGGCTTTACACTCTAAAATAGGTGCTGGACAACATAGTCGTATTGACGGGGACGAAGGGAGCAGACTGTAGATTGAAGGTGAAACTGTTTATTTGGGCCGAACTTGCGGCCGACAAACGAAAAGTAAGATTACAACGATACACACCGGCGCTGATAGCGGCGAACGGAGCGTCGGCCGTCCACTAACTGACAAGCGTTGAAGCGTGTCGACACTTATACACGTGCCGTCGAATATCCTAGCATTATCGCTAGCGATAACTTCAGTTTCAGATAATCTGTAATCTTCACGAAGTGGGCGCGGTAATCTTAACTAAATGACCTACTACAGACTCGAAGCTGCTCTAACACTGCAGGCGCACGCTTTGCGTTGAGAATTTCGTACAGTGTAGCGCGGTGATAATAAAACTTGAGGAAGGAACTTGGCAGTATGACAAACGTAAATGAAGGTGGCAACAAGAAGATCGTCACTTACATGGCGCGCCCAGCATGATTTACATACAATGGTGCCAAAGTCTTTTCGGTCATTCAATTAAATGGATATATATCAAAATTATAATGGCCAGATATATGTGTGACGAAAAAGAAATATATCTCCGTAAAGGGTACCTTGGGAAGCATGCGAAGCAGATTATGGATTGACTTCCGTAAAGTTAGCGCGAAAGTTGCCTTTTAGTTACACATCACCACAGTAGATGACTTCCTAAGTTCAGGGTTGCGTTTCCTCTCGAGTGTAACGGCCCAGTGGTCCGTAATGTGTAGAGTCACGCAATTAACGGATTGCCTTGCTTCAACCGTATCGCTGCTTTTGCCGCTGACTCGCGCTGCAGTAGCTTAGAAGTGTGGCAGCTTGCGCTAGTTGGTATGGCATGACGATAGTTATAGCGCGAGAACAAAACGACGACACAGAGACAAGACATGTCTTTCGTGTCCTTCTTGTCTCTGTGTCGTCGTTTTGTTCTCGCGCTATAACTATCGTCGTTGCAGTAGCGCTTCGAAGCAAAACGTAAACCAAAGCCGAAGCAAAACGTAAGAGCGCATTCCCACAAGAGAAAAGAAGCGAAAGCGAAAATGCCATAGCCGCAGGAAAAACACGACTGCGCGCGCCGAAGGTGTTTACATTCGTCCTGCCCATCCCGCTGCCGCTGACGTCGATACCTCAACAATTATTTCGCTTTAGCCTGCTTTCTCAGAACTAAAGTTTGTGCCGAATTCTAGTTATTCCTGCCAGGCACTGAAAATAAAGAGCTCGCACATTTTCAAACGTTGTTTTCGGAGATACGCCAGCAGAAGCGACACGGGTGAACGCACCGGTAGCGGTGGCGGCTTATTCAATCGACTGCACACAAAAGCGAGGCACGTTGGGGCATGCCGACTCGCTGCTCCTGCACCGCCTAATTCCAGAGTTTTCGGCGATTGTAATCCAAACGAAGATCTCAATGAACACGTCATCACTGAGGCGGTGAAGCTTTGTTGTGCTGCACGGGTGCTATGTGATTTGGGCCGATGCTAGCCACCACCAACGCCTTTGCGGTCGTATAGTTGGATCACGTGGTTTGATCTAGCGCAGCCAAAGTCGTGCAGCAGAAACCGGATTCACTTTCGCGTGACGGAAAAATCAGTCTCAAACTGATTGTTGCGTGCCGGCCGTGCGGCGTGATTTTCCGGCCGCTTGGACGGTGTAACGAGCAGGTTTTCGGAGGTTTAGCCGTTTTCGCTCTGTTCGGGGCCAACTGTGAACACGCCCTTCGGCTTCGCGTTGCCGCGTCGCTTCGACGTTTGCTTGTCGACGTTGACGTTTGGCTTCGGCTGCGCGATTTCTCGTTGCTTCTGTGGATTCTTGCAGGAGGCGCTTACTGTGAGCTTCTGCTTCTCTCAGTCAAAGTTCGGGGTCGGTTTGCAGCCGCTTCCATTTCGCAGCAATGGCTCGAGCCCTCTTCTCTTCAGCAAAAGTGCTAGCATTGCTGCTGGTTGTGCATCGTGGCGTTCACGCTCCTGTTATCGCGGTGAGATTGAGTAGAGCCACGACCGCTCGATCTGTCCTTTAGGGGAGGATCGAGTGGCCGTGGTAGAGCGGAGCCTGCACGGGTCATTTTCATCTCGTGGAGCTGCCGTGGCGCCTCTAGCGGTCTCGTCCGGAAGCTTCGGTCAGCTGTTGGGCATGCGCAGAGGTTGTGTGGGTGGCGCAGAGGGGAAACAGGCTCGACCATAAGCTGCTTCGCAATGACAGGGGGTAACATGAAAATCTTGACATACATGTCACGTACAGCATGACATGCAATGCTCATGGCGTGCTCGCAGCCATTTCACTAGCTTGAAAAACACTAAATTTGGTAGTACGTAACATGACTATATGGCAAGCATAATTGACAGGTCCGAGAATGCAAATAGTGACATACATGTCATGCATGACAAGGTTGACATAACGCTGTACTATAGTGGGTTCCCAACTGTTCTGTTTTATATACCAAAATTAGTGTGGCAGAACATGAGCGCCTGACGAGCATATGACAAGTTATTTATCGTATATACCAGACTATACGCTTTAATAGGGTGACAAATACCAGATTTGATATGCGTGCATGCATCACAAAAGTGCGATATACGTAAACTAAGCGTCATGACATCACTGCCTTCATCTTGCCTAACTTCATGACTTCATTTGACTGAAAACCAAACAAGGCAATGTATGCATCTCCTTGCTCCTGCTTAACATTTCATGAATTCTCACAGTGCATGGGACTAGCTAAATTGTAAAAAAACACATTTCAGTGATTTAAGAAAAAGACCCCGTAAAATGCATAAACTAATTTGACAATCTGAATGAATTGTTATTGTAGCTAGCTCCGTGTCAGGTGAGACTGGAGACTTGAATGCTGACTTACCGTTATTTATCAAAAGGTGTTTGAACATTTGCCCTACTAAAAGTTTTCCCTAAGGCTTCACTGGTTCCTTTGGGTCTCACCGTTGTGCCCTCTTACCTCGACTCCCTCGCTTTCAATGGCGCTGATGAGTGCCCGAGTATAGAGGTACAAGAGGCCGCCATGCAGCATAGCCATGGTTCCGTCCCGATAGTAGAGCGGCGGTTGCAGAGCCCCAATGCAGACAGAGAGGCGGTTGAGGACCTCCACGTAACGGACATATGGCAAATCGTTATTGTCACCGAGTAGCAGCTCTTCTAAAGCCGCATCAGTGCCGAACAGGAGACGCTGTCTGCGATGTGTCTCAATCCAGAACTCGGTGAAAGACGGGGCGTCATCGGGAAAATCTTTGTAAACTTCATCGAGCCGACTCTGAGACAAGAAGGTCTCCGAAGGCCATACGACAGTATGCACAGTGCTGACCTTCTCCACGGCTCGCTTCTTTATTCTCGAGTCCAACCATGAGGTGGCACCCGTTTTGTTTGCCGCCACCTGCGGTGAAGGAACATTGCGTGTCCTACAAGTTACGCAGAATTCGTACTCGTGGTCCTTGATACGCCCACCGTTACCTGATTTAAGGGACAGGGTGCCAGTGCAAACTAGCCATTGTTGCCAATGGCTGGATTTCAAAAGGAAATTCGCATTGAATCTAGTAGGCAAAGTAGCCATGTCGTGTAATTTTATCGCCGCACTTGTAGTCGAATAGTACCGTTTGTATTACTGAACAATAAACAAATTTTTATTTGAAAACAGCATAGAAATACCAGCACTGTTTTTTTCTCTTTCTTTGTCGTGAAGCCGAAGGTAATAATATTAGTGACAATTATTTCTGTGCGTGCTCGTGTAACTAATGCACGAAAAATACAATTTTCGCGATATACGAAATTATATTCGAAC